TATATCATGTATATCATGATAATATCGTACTGGGAGATTTGGATATCGTTACATCCCTAATCGTGAGCCTCCCCACCATATCATGAGCTTTCCCATGATATCGCAATAAACATCGTACCGTGAGGTTCACACCGTGACGATATCGTATCTTGAGACTTGGATATCGTTACATCCATAAAAGCTGTAGTGCATGTTTGATTTGAAGTTACACAGGGATGTTATAGACAGGGAGAACAGAAAACATTACATTAGCGCTGCTGTTATCTCTACTGTGTTACTGGGGGGAGAGGGTATGGGCACCTGCTTCTCTCCATAGAGATGTTATTGGCATTAAACGTATCTATCTTGCGTTAATTCAATTACAGGGGTGTTAATTGCCTTGGAAAACAAGAATCCTTCCTGTGGGCGGGCTTGCCTCTCCACAGATCTGCCCTCCAAGTTGACCCGGTGGCATCCCATGTTTGTCTCCAAGGAGATTGACACACAATGCCGCACTGTGGAGTATTGCAGACAAATCAAGAACATCTCCATGGAGACAGCAAAAACAGTTACATAATGAACCTTGGTAAGCAATAAGAGTTCGCAGTAGCACTATTTAAGTCATTCCCTGGATGTTAATTGCGGTCATACTCAAAGGTGTAAATGAGCTGTAATCAAACCGGACGGATGTTACACGTTCCAGGATTTAGCCAGATCCCAATCCCTATAATACACTTTAACATTACATTCAAAAACACAACCTCCATCTCTTCCTATATATCCAGACTATTTTACTATCCACATCCAAACAATCAGAGCAGTGTACAGACAGTTATTTACAGTGAATATCTCTGCCCCAGCACGCCCACTATGCGCCGCGGAGATGCCAGGGAAGGGAAGGGCACAGTTTTTGAACGCGACACCACTTGCACTTAAGCTACGCAACAGCTGCAAATGCACATGCCAACCATTCTGTTTGTTGTAGTCGGGGATTACTGCGCGATAAAAGGCCCAGAGAGGAGCAGCGCGGCCCGGGGACAACGACTACTGTTCCCCTCTAAGAGCTCAAACACTATGGAGGTTTGGAGAAAGGTTTAAGGAAAAGTGTAGGTCTGTGTAGAGGCACAGGTGGATGTGAAAGAATGAATGGGAGTATTGAGAGATTAAAAGAGGACTGCAGTAACATCATAAATGACATAACTCTGACAGAGCAGCCAGGCCTCTTATGTAAGCTTTCACTGAGTGGAAATACTCACCGAAACTACATTATGTTTTCAGATTGTAGGCATATTTTTAATTACAACAAAGACATATTTTTGGAGTTTTGCCATATTAGAATAGTATTTGAATAATAATTTAGACGCTTGGTTCTACCTTGTGATGTCATCAGGTGGTATAATCCAGGAAGTGCTTATTTTCTTCAGTTTTTAAGTCCATTCACCTTCATCAGAAGCATCTCAACATAAGGTACATTAATACTTAAGCTTCATTTTATCTAGACAAGAAAGTTTTTTCATGGTGAAGTTAAAGGTATACTGTGCATGTTTCCATGGAGATGTGGAGGCTGAAGATGTCCCATAGTATGGCACTAAACATATCTGCAATTGATCACTTGGTATTTTATTTATCAGATAAAACACACACCTTAGAAAAACAGGCACAACACTCCACAGATCTGACCTATAACTGGTAGCACCACCTGCTGGTCTCCACTGAGAAGTTGTTTTTTTTGCAATAATCTGACGAGGTTCAGTACTTTCTGCATTTACCCCTGTCGTAATCAAGATACATTTGATTTGATGTACACCTCATTTTGCTCCAAACTAACTGTTGGATTGTCATCAGTGAAATATGAATTTTAAAACAGAGGCAATTTTTCATCAGTAGTCCTTGTCACCCAATTAGTGAAGTGATTATTTCTATTTTGCCTTCCATCTGTAAAGTTGAAGCAATAGTCCAGACAGTACAGCCCTTATAATTATACTCAATGCACAGAATACCAACAGGGATAACATTCAAATGTATGACCCTATGGAAACTGCCGTGCCTCTGTCTGCCAGTTTACAATATTAGTCTCCATTTAACGCCCTTCACTGGATCAGATGGAGATGGAAAGCATCCTCTTCTATCTGCGTGTGTCATCTATTATAACTGGAAATGTTAAATGGGACTTTCCAATAAGTTAAATATAGAGTAAGATTTACACAGCTTAATTCTTGTTAAGTTGTTGGTGGTTTGGAGTCCGTTCAGTAGATGCTCTGGGCATTGGGGGGATTTCAACAAGGGTTCAAGAACCACCTGATGATGTTGTGGTGTGGGGGCTTTTCAAGAAACTCAAAGCTCTTTACAGTGCATTATTCATTCACTCACTTCACATTCACTATTGTAGCCACAGCTGCCCTGGGGTAAGTGACAGAAGCAAGGCTGACAGTTTGCACCATTGACCCCTCGAACCACACACTCACACACCATTTTCATACAGGCAATGAGTTAAATGTCTTGCCTAAAGACACAACGGAACTTGGTCCGAGCAGGAATCGACCTTCAGGTTGGGGGACAACTGAAAAAAATAATGAAAATTCACTTTTTTCCACATCTAGGCAGATGACATTACATTTAGTTTAGTCTCATTCAGGACTTTCCAGTTTAAAAATAGGTCTTTACAACAGAAAAAAGTAAATGAGCTCAGACAGAAGAACAAATCAATCATAGTACAACGAAGGCCGTCTGCTACACAAGTCCAACACAAAGCAATTTAAGAAAAACACTCAACCAACAAATCTGAATTACATTTCTTAAAATGATTAGCTATTGTATAATAATATATATAAATAATAATATAATAAAAATAGTACAGTTAGTAATTAATTCCATCAGGAGCGGCACCACAATAAAAGGAAAATTAAGTGCATATGAAAAGGTTTCATGTTTTTTTTTTCTAAATACAACTTGGTTTGGTATGGTGCATGTGGTCAAGGATGTGACAAACACCATAATTTAAAAAAATAAATAAATAAACTAGGCTACACTTTTTTTATAATATGATTATGTTATTTGAGTTTTAGTGAAATTAGTAATCTAACCTGCCATATGCACTTTAAGTTAAAAGAATAGAGCATAAGAAAACAAACATTTTGTTGAAGACAAGAAACACAAAAGGTTAAAGGTCCTCTATTCTACAAAATTGACTCTTGTGAGCTTTAAGCAATGTTATAATACATGCTCAAAAAACATACCTGGAGTTGTTTTGTTTCATTTACACGTGTGAGTAATATTATTAGTCTGTCCACATCTCCAAAGTTCTAAATGCTCTGTTCCACCTTGTGAGGTCTTGTAGTGGTAGTTTTAGTGGTAGTTAACAGCTACTACTACCTTTAGTTCAGTAAAGACTGGCAATTCCAGGACTGTGAAATTATCCATGGTTTTTAATGAAGTTGTATGGAGTTTCAAAACACAGTGGAGCACTTCCTGTACTACCACATGACATCATAAGGTGATACAGAGTATTTTCAGTTTGAGAGAAGAACTCACATGCAGAGTTTGTGTGTTAAACATGTGTGACTGAAACAAAACACAACTCCGGGCATGTTTGATGAGGAAACAACATTAAAACAAAGATCAGAGAATAGAGTAATATTTGGCCCTTTTAATATAAATTTATGAGGTCATGCAAGAGAAAAACAAAGAGAGAAGATAGAAGAAAGAAGAGAGGAATAAAGAGAGGAGAAAGAGAGGAGGAGAGAGGGAGAGGGGCAGGTGCTGCAGTGAGGACTGAGGACAGCTGCTCAGAGACACAAAGACACTGTATTCAGACAACACAACTGTGCATGTCAGTTACTCAGACGTTTAAGAGTTTGAACTGAGGGCTTTCATTACATAAGAGGAGATACAAATATAAAATTAAAACATGTAAATTACAATTATCTGAATTACCTTAAAAGTTGACATTAAAAGGTGCTCTCCCTGATTTACAGATTTTTTTGTCTAAAAAAAGTGAAAAACAGAACAGGTTCAAATTATACTTTTGCAGTGATCCAAAGTTAGTCCTCACTTACCTTTTGCATTCAGAGCATCCTAATCACTTACTGCAATGAGTTTATAAGTACTTTTCACCAGACCAGAGCGAAGTTTTGCAGGGACGATAAAGCCAATAACTAGCACTCTAACCCACACCTCCTGATTATTTGACAATGAAATGCTTTATAAATAGATGTGGCAACAAGCAGCTGACTTACTTTGACTTCAAGAGCTGCGAATACAGTACAAATAATTTTTCTCAAATACATAGGAAAAAATAGGCTGGGGCATTTATTGGAGCATATTGGATGCCCTCATGGGTGCTTGGGTCTCAGTCTTGAACATGGAAAAAAGTTGATCCTCAAGCTACTTCTCACCAAGATCCAGGACAGACATTCCTATGGTGGCAACATTTCTATGGAACACACGAAAGGCTGAAAAAACAAAACTTAACATTCCTTCAGAGAATACATCATTTGTGTTACATACTAGGAAAAATTGAATCAAAAAAGGGGCTGTGATGGGGAAATAGCTTTGAAGCGCCAAGGATCAGTATCAGGAAATGAACACAAGTCAAAGTAATGCTCCCAAAAATAATGGAAACCAACATTTGCATTCTGTGAAGCATCATCTAGAGTTGTCAAAAGTATTGAAAAGCAGATATGACCTCTAGCAATACTAAAACCGGTATCAAAACTTAGATACTCATTTAAGCAGGTATCAATAATAAAAAGTCACATTCACAGGACAGAAATGAACCTTTCCTGAATAACTTTAGAATAATCTTGAGCTGTATCGAACAAGTACAAGAGCACAGACTTTGCTTATAGTGTATGATGTAACTGTGCTTTACAGTGTACACTAATATAATCTAGTCTGACTTATTCGAAACAGTGATACTGCAAACATTTTAACTATAAAAAAAAAAAAAAAGAAAAGCTAGGTTAACCTTCTGATGGGAGTGATGGGAAAATGAATTAATAATAATACAAAAACAACATTAATTGATATACAATTATATTTATTTGTTGACAAAACGAAAACTACAGTTTTCACTTCAGTAGCTTTGCGGCTATTGTGTAGTTTTAGTGCGAGGTTTGAAAGAAGTAAATCTTACTAGAATTCACAAAAATGGTGGTTTTCTCAGGCATGTATCTTATTTTTTAGCATAAATAGCTTTAACACTCTTCAAGTCAAAACAGGGCCATGCTATTATGTGCATATAACATCAGAAAACAGCTCCATCTAGTGGCGGCAAGACGAAGCGCAAGTAAGAGCAAAAATTACTCATAGAATCAAAATATCATCACTTTCTCATTTGCTTCTAAAAAAAAAAGTTTGGTCAAGATAAATTTAAAAACAAAAGCACAAAGAAATCATTACAATTGGCAGTGAAACGCTGAAATAAACCACAACAATGAGGCTCTATTAAAACAAGATAATTATAAATAAATTAAACACAGCACAATTGTCCGTGACCATGGAGAAAGCAGAGATCCATAAAAGAGAAAATAATTAAAATACTTATGATTTTTTTTACAGGCACATTGAGAGCTTGGCAACAGTATACATGGTTACATTTCAATCACTAATAAGTTGCATTTTGAGGCAGGTTACTTTCGATTTTTACAAGAGAAATAGGTTAGAGATTACACTGTAGAACATTCACTTCAGTTGACAGATTTTCAGCAGAACTCAGTCATTTAGTTTTAACTGTTTGTTGATGGTTAAATCCAAAAGTATACTGTAAATGCTCATAACCCAAAAAGGAGTTGTCTGCGGTGAATAAAGAGTAATATGGCAAAAATTATAAAAATGTATATTGCGGTTTAGTTCTTCTGAGAGTCCACACTTCATCGCGACTGGTTAGCTCCGCCTGTCACTCACTCAGAGCACGACATAGGTTAACCAATAGGATGAGAAGGTGGCGAAAGTTATAATAATTTCTCCAGGTTGTCAGACAGTAACAGATCTATATAAATACTGGATTGCATACTGTCATATTGCTTCATTGTTGTTAAGAGAAAAGAAGATATAACAAAGAATCAATGGGGATGCAAAAAGTAGAAAGTGATTACCATGGATGTATTAAAAAAATCTTTGCCATAGAGTGCAACGTAAATACTGCTCGTTGGTCTAAATTGTCGTTATTGAGAACTTCCACTGAAATAAAAAAGGGCACCAATTCCCAGTATAAGTAATAACACACAAAAAACAAAAAAAAAAGTTACTGAGTTCTGCTTCAAATCTCTATGTTGCAGCATACAGCTTTGTTAGACCTACTTACATTGCATTCAATATTACATGAACAATCGTATGTACAGGAAATGCATCTGTTGCTCTGTTTTCTTCTTGCTAAAATAGCCAAGAAATGTATGGGGAGAGAGGGTAAAGAGCTATATACAAAAGGCAACCCTAGTTCACCAATCAGACATAACTACGGCATATAACCATCTATATTAGGCAGGTGCTTTGAATGTCATGTTCAATAGGTGCATTTAACAAACTCAAGTGCAAAAAAATACACCTACATATTAAAAGGACTTCAACTCTGAATATTAATCTTGAATACTAGAGATTTTTGGGTTGTCAAAAATATAGAAGATCACATCATCAAAACTAAATACTAATTTTTCGCATTTATCAATACTAAAAAGTCTCAGGACAGAAATTAACCTTTCCTGTATAGCTTTAGAATGATCTTGAGCTGTATCAGAATAAGTATAAGCGCACATAGGCTAGTATGGAACCTACCTATAGCACTGAGGGATTACACAGATATAAGGCCGCATAGAAATATAACAGAAAGTACTACAATGTAATGTTGAAAATCACATTCTGTAGTCTAAAGCAAGTTTTTTCTTATCTTATGTATCGAGTCAAAATTTAAATGAGGATCTGAAATCTAATCAAATAAAGATTAATATTAGTAAGTCAAGTCCCTTTAACTCATGTAGACATTTTTTGCAGAGTTCTATATATATATGTAAGCAAATAGGTTTTCTATGTACAATGCAATGGTCACACAAAATACTCTGCGATACTGGCTTCATATAAATAAATAGTCTGTTCATCTGAATCCCTTTATTTGTAGTAAATTTACATCTAGTGGCCACTTTATTAGGTTCTTAATCAAATATCTAAACCGTAACAAGAAATGCCACCAGGCCAAGTTACAGTTCAGATCTGTTGAGAGGTGTTCTTAATGTTCAAAGCAATAACAATTCCATGGAGATGAGCAGTACCTTTAAAATCTCCTCAGCTTTCTTCTCAATTCTGATACTCAAATTGTCTACAGACAACTATATAATAATATAGTTGTATGTAGACAATTTGAGAATTGATACATCTATACATTACTATTAGCATTTAGAGCTGTACCTAATAAAGTGGCCAGTATTCACATGTGGCACCGTAATCAACATTTGGTTTCAACAATACAATGAGTGGCAGTGTAATGCAAAATTAACCAGCTTCAAGAAGTGCTATACTTTCTAAGGCGCGAGCGGGGAGTTAGGTGGACATTGGTTGCTTTGTGGGAGCCACATGCACTATTAGATTTTAAGTATTATTTTCTGCAGCAGTGCTTCTCAAACAGTGGTGCGAGTGCTTTTAGTGGAATAAGTTTTTAGTACTTCCAAGTCTAGATTAAGTCTTGAAATTTTAAGAGCCACTTCAGTCCTAGTTTTGTGATTTGTGAGTTCCTGGCTGACACCTGGTTTAGTGTCACTTTAATTTAGACCTTTTTTTTCTCCTGCTGTAGTTTTGGGTTGTGCTAGTCCTGGTTTAGTCCTGCATTGGTTCTGGGTTAGTTTTTATTTACTCCTTTATTAAAAGTCCTCTTCCAACACCATTTTGTCCCGGTTTAGTTCTGAACTAGTCCTAGTTTAAAAACAATCTAGTCCTTTTATGGAGCTGTTATTTGAGTCTTGGTTTAGTGCCGCTGTATCTCTGGGTTGGGCTAGTCCTGTTTTAGACCTAGATTAGTCCTGGTTTAGTTCATGAGTTATTTTTAGTACTAGTCAGTTTCCGTTATGTGAAAATTAGGTCCAAACCAGGACTATCTTAGGACGGTTGGAGGTGCTAGCAATTAATCTTGGTTAAATCCAGAGAAAGTACTTGTAAGTACTTCCTAGGTTTTTAGACCTGGGTTAGTCCTGGTTTTGCTCTAGTTTGAACTGGCTTGACCTATTTTTATCTAGTTTATACTCTGTTTAGAAATGGCTCAGTCCTGGGTAAGTCCAGAATGTGTTTTAAAGTTGAAGCCCGAGCTAGTCTTTTATAGTATTTATACCTGATTTTGTCCTGCTCTAGGCCCATTTACGTCCATTAAAATTACTTGTAGGGCCAAATATTCCTAGAAGGGGGATAGAATTCTAGACCACATACATTTTGATAACTTTTTGTATAATCTTACCACATCCTGGACATGGTGCGTGGAATTTGTGTAACCTTTTTGCGCAGTTGAAACAAGTTAACAGGTGTGCTGTTCTTCCATGGATTATACTCCCATTTCGAGGCCTTACCCTACAAAGCTTACAAGGCTCCAATAGTGCTTCGGGCTTAACCTCCACATCCATGTCGAGACTCTCCTGGCTGTCTCCGTCCCCTACCGAGAGCTGCTGGTCCCTGGGTAGAGCGCACATCCTCGGCCCCTTACCCTTGGAGCCTGGAGGTGGTAGTGGGCGATCCTCGGTGGAGTGAGAGGGGAGAATTACTGGGTCGGAAACGGTTCGGCTACAGTCTGGAACGTCAATGCCTGCGTCACTGTCATAATCTTCATCGTCGTGGGCAGAGAGAGAAGAGGTGCATGCTGGGATGTCAGGGACAGAAAGGGAGTGGGCGAGGCGAGGGACGTCCTTGTACCAGTTTTTGCGGAGGGCCCAACAGCGAACGCAGTATTTCTGATGAGGTGTGTTGAACTTACGACATTCAGAGCACTGCCAGGCATCCTGATGGAAGAGGGAGGAGTCAGTAATCGCAGAGTGAAATGAAATGAGCCTTCTCCAATCCCTCAGTTGTCAGTTAATTTATTTTTTCTTATTAAAAACAAATAAATTTGGCATTTTGTGTTAACTGAAATACCATACAGAAGACAGATTTTAAATAACTGCTATTCAACTCAAAGCTATGTTTCTTGTTCCAAAATTCTAACTCTACTCCAAACCACATGCTTTTAATGACAGAGAATTGGCTTTAGATTCTAGTCTCTATAAAAAACGCCACACTGATTACCAGTGTTGGGAGTAATGTATTATAAAAGTAATGTATTACAGTAATGCGTTGATTTTTGCTGTAACGCAGTAATGTAAGGCATTACAGGGGGAAAAATTGTAATATTTTACTCGGTACAAATGTGAGTAACGCGCGTTACAATGCTTTTTTAACCTGGATTGAAGTGGTGGGTTTTTCTTCATAGAAATTCGCTAAAATCACCGTGAAATCAGCAGCGGTGAAACGCCGGAGACGCGGCCGGATAGACCTTCAGTTAACCGCGGGCGAAAGGATCAACCCAGAACTCTACGCTGTTTAGACCTGGTTTAGACCTGGGTCACTTCTGGTTTAGACCTGGTTTAGACCTGGGTCACTTCTGGTTTAGACCTGGTTTAGACCTGGGTCACTTCTGGTTTAGACCTGGTTTAGACTGGGTCACTTCTGGTTTAGACTGGTTTAGACCTGGGTCACTTCTGGTTTAGACCTGGTTTAGACCTGGTACTTAGACTGGTTTAGACTGGGTCACTTCTGGTTTAGACCTGGTTAGACCTGGGTCACTTCTGGTTTAGACCTGGTTTAGACCTGGGTCACTTCTGGTTTAGACCTGGCTTACAGTCTTCCCTTGCTCTAACGCGATTCACTTTTCGCGGTCTCGCTGTTTCGCTGATTTTTAGAATTTTTTTTTGTGCAATTTTGCATGCCTTTTGTTTTTAGTGTATGAACACGTATTGCGTTCCTCCCGCTGTGTCCTGATCGGCTAAGGGACTCCTGTCTCCTGTACAGTACAGTACAGAATGTGTTCAGCTGCCAAATTTAAATAAATGTTCAATCTCTAGCAGTGTGATTCTGAAGTGCTGTATGTCTGCAAGTTTTCTCTCCGACAAAATCCACAACGTCGACGAAATGTTCTGCACCGACAAAGTCTCCTGCGCTCACACCCAAAAGACAGAGGACGATGCAAACCATCGCACAAAAAGTTGGACTTCTGGACACGTTGAAGGAAGGTAGAAGTTACGCACTGTAGCAGAGTTTTGCACCGGGTCTTGTACCCGCAAATAGTTGCTGAAATCAGGACCATGAGCCCCCGCAGCAGGGTGTCCATAAAGCGCGATCGGGCGACAGCCGCTCTTACCTCCATGAGGTGCGGAGCAAAGCCGCTCCTTTCTCCTGCGGTCACCTTCGAGCCCATCCTGACAGTGAGTCCTGTTTTAGTCCTAGTTCAGTTCTGGTTTAGTCCTCCTCTTCAGTCCTGGAATCAGTCTGAGGTTAGTCCTGTTATAGTCCTGGTTTAGTCCTGGTTCAGCTCTGGTTTAGTCCTGGTTTAGACCTTGTTTAGTCCTGGTTCAGTCCATATACGGCTCAAAAGTTCAGCTTTTTCGCAGTTATTTTGGTGAGAGTAACTTAAAGTAATGCAATAGTAATGTAATGCCTTACATTTTAAATGCAGTAATATTGTAATGTAACGAATTACTTTGAAATGACAGTAATAAGTAATAAATAACGCATTACAGTTTTAAAGTAACTTGCCCAACAGTGCTGATTACTGAAACAACAGGATCTCATTTTGATAAAACACACAGTCAAAGACTAAGTATTTGGAATATCAGTAACACTGTAATAATACTAAAGTAATAACACTAAAGACAGTTCCAGTACAAACCTGCGTGGAGATCTCCGTGTCTGTGTCATCACTCAGACACTGGGAGTCGTCCTCTGGGTCTTCCTCCATCTGTATGTGAGGGAGAGAATTCAATTTAACACAATTCAAGAAGGAATTTAAGCACTGAGCAAATTAAACCTGAAATAAAACTTAGAAAAAACTTTCACATCATTTTCAATGGATTTATTTAAACATGATGCAGTTTCAATAAATGAACAGGTGAGGTGTAGAGTAGGGAGTGACATTCAGCAAATCATTTATCTCATAGTGCAGAAACCAGCAAACTGCCTAACATATGTAGATGACCATCAGCCCATTGTACAGCACCACTAGGAGAGATCTTGTAAGCTCTTTAGTTCTAGTCTATGACACCTGTGGATCATAATTTTATATTTTGAACATTTTAAATCACAATATTTGAGGCCGGACAATGTCACCTATTGACAGCTGCAGATTACACTAGCAAGCAAAAAATATTTTACCAAAATTTCTATGGGACACTGCTGACACAATTATTGTTTGTTATTTTCAGTTCAGTGGGAATAATTCTGATGACTGTACCTCCTTGTGTTCCTTGTCGTCCCGGGCGACCTCCTCATCGTCAGGGGGAGGGTCTGTATCTCCACTGCACTCCTCCAGCGCTGCCTCCTTCATTTCCACACTGCGCTGCTCGCTCTCTGCCTCCGTCAGGAACCAAAGATCATCTGTAGTGTCTGAGACGATTGCCGTGTCCTCCTCCTGAGCAGGAGACAGCTACAAGTCAAAGAACAGTCAGTCTCTCATATTACTGGTCATATTTCATTATCTTGTTAGCCTGGAGGACAACGGCTGATGATTTTCTCTCAATTAACCTTCAATTAACATTTCCTCATTTAAAAACAAATAAGGGCTTTCCATTTTAATTCCATGAACATACCAATGACAGGCTTTTAACCTGTGATAGTTCACACTAAAAGGCACATTTGCTGCAAAAATATTGAATGTTACAATCTCCAATGGAGCAAGAGAAGGCACTTGAGAATTATATTGTATTTTCATAAGAAATATCCAATTTTACTCACAAAAACAAAACTGACAAAATTGCTAATTAACAATATCTATTTAAAGTGACTCCACCCCATCTCCACTAATCACTACAGGACCATAGGAGGACCCCATTTGCGTTTCTGAAATGCCTCTCACCTGGTTAGTGTGAATGTCCGTGGACCCGTTGCTCCGTCGGCTGTAGTTGTTCCGGAGATTACCCAAAAACCACCAGGGCAGCCCGGAGAGGTCCCAGTCATCCAGAGACACGTCCAGTTTGGGTCGTTTACAGGCAGAGCGCGGGAGGCCGTCACACGAGTCTGAGGAGAGAAAGGGAGAGAGGGATATATGGTTAAGAGGTAGTATTAGAAATCAACCCTGTGGTATCAACCTTATATTAGGATTTTATTGTGGAGAGGCTGGTGGTATTGTAAAGTTGGAACAGAGATCAGGAACATATATACTGTGCTTCCTGTGCTTTTAACCAAAGTATAGTCTTAATTTAAAATTGTATTTATAATAATTTATAGAACTATAGGGCACGTATTAAAAGTGATCAGTGATCAGCCTCTTCTTGTCAAAGCTAAGCCCTGGATCATATAGGTTATTTAGCTTTGACAAAAAGATCACGGTATTTTAATGGTATAAAATTATGTTCAGATTTTCGCTTGAATTTCTCTACAGTAGATCATTATTTATATTCGCTCTTCACTGCCTGATCTGGTAAGGTACATCCCCTCAGGCTGACTGAATGTGATTAAATGGAAACCAGACTTCATGCTGTAGAGAGTGAGACAAACAGAAGCTCACCATCATCTGGGTCCCGCGGGCGCCGCTGGGAGGGGGTCTGCAGGAGAGGACCCTCTGCTTTGACCACACCCCCACAGCCCTACACAGGAATTAAAAAGGAAGTAGAAAGACACAATCAGAAACTGAGCCAGGACTGGGCACTCGGACCAAACACTGCTCCTGTTACAGACCGCCTTTAAATATGATTATGATTCTGCGGGTACTAGGGAAGGGAATGGAGGGGTGGGCAGATGGGGGAAGGGGAAATACCTAAATAATTTTGTTATGGTGAAAATAATGTTTAAAATCAAGTACACACAATTCCTCTAAAAATGTGCACACATGTCAGAAGAAGAAGGAAAAATTGACTGGCCATGAATTAAAAAGGTAATCTATTCAGTTTCCAAAGATTTAACTTCAAATCCGCCAAAACTGGCAGAGCCGTTCCAGTGAACTGTATCCATGGGTTTTAGCATGATGAAAATCTAGTACTGATTCCATAGCAATTCAAAAATATTATATTTTTTGAATTGGTAAACAGTCTTCAAAATGTCACTTATAAACAGGAAGCTTAAACCCGTGAATAAAAACAAAGGAAATCAATTCAAAGCAAATTCACTGCATATTGAAAGCATGCAAATTTGCAAAATGCAAATACACAAAAAAACATAGATTTGTTATTGTAATACAGTCAGAAAACTAAAAGTAGACTAGAAGTAATATCTCCATTATTGCAGTACAGTAGTCCGTTTTGCAGGGCAGGACAGGGCAGGAGGGAGGTTTGGGGGCAGTAGTTTTTAGTTTGGGGCTTTAGTCTGAATCTGAAGCAGTGGAGGGTCCGGCTAAATCAGAGAAGGAGACTCTGGGACAGACAGAGACAGACTCTGCCCCCCGCACCGCTTCGCTTCACCACAGGGTGGCGCTCAGCAGGGCGGGGCTGTACAGAGACGGTGCAGCTCTGTACAAAGCATCAAGAGACAGCAGCCCGCAACCTCCAGCTCCACACACAAGAGGGCAGACTCTACCCTTACGCTTAAAAGAAATTATATCTAGAGAAAATGAAAAATCATATTTTATGAAAGTAAAATTTGTTTATGACACAATTAACTACACACAGGTAAAACACAATTTGAAATGCTTTTAAACTGATAATCAAAGATTGTCAACCTAACACACTTACTCATGGAAAGACCAAATAAAAATTATATTCAAGTGAAAGCACTGTTACTTCTAGATAAAATTGCTCAATTACAAACCTAAACCAAGTAAATATTAGACTGTATGAGCAGGGAATCAATCAGTGGTTTCAGCACCACCCTTTGGTGGTCATCAACCATAGTTACATTTCATTGCTATCCACTTCTGTTTCCTGTGATACATTTGGGTTGGACTGAGTAAGACTAGAATTTATATAATTTTGGATTTTCTGTACAGCAATGGATGGATTCCATTAAACAGAATCTGTCATTTTGTTATATTTTATGTGCATTTACTATCCTAACCAAATAAAAAATGCTGACTACTGATGACGAAAGAAAGTAAAAACAACTTTGAACTTTCACTTTAAAAATAACCAGGTTAAAGCAAAATCCAAACTAGCCAGTTTTGTAGTTCAGAGCATGTTTAGACATAGCTGTGCTTATAGCAGTAGCTTCATCTGTCCTCTCTTGTGTGTTGGAGATAGGAGAGGTTCTTGGGGTTCTGTTTCTCCGAGCACCACATTCGTTTTACCTGACCACGGTCCTCCACTCCGCCCCCTACACACTCGCGGCGCACAGACTCATTCTCAGCAGCGTCTGCATTTAGGACGAGACAGTAACAGAAAGAGCACAACCCCTCCCTTTAATACAACAGTGCACACTCTATGGGCTAACTGTGACCCCTCCCAAACATCTGTGAGATCGCAAAAGCATTGGAAAGAATACACACTGACATTTGAACTTACTGTGGTGAAAAAGGAATCTTCACTTCTTCTAGCCCCTATTCTACCTTACCCGTATTTAAAGAGTGGGAAATATTGCATTAAAAAAAGTTAAGGGTACATACCTAGTACTACTAAGTACTTCTTCAGCATTTCGTACACAGGGCTGTAAATGATAAATAATTACATTTAGGATGTTGATTATGTCTCAGTGACTTAAAATGAATTGCTGTTGCATTGACTGCTGACTGTAAAATTGGGCTGTGTAAAAGTTTTAATATTACAATAAAAAATGTCATTCAAGTTTCACATGTTCATTCAAGACCCATAAAATGTTAATGATGCGATTACTATTAGATAAAATTAATTTAAACCTTTATTCACTTGTACAATCATATTTATTATGCGTTTATAATGCAATTATCAAATTGAATTGATTTAAGATTTGTTTTGTTTGGTTAGTTTGAGTACTTTTATTGTGTATACATTATGCCGATTCAAAATTTCTTATAATTGTGACATTCGCATTATCTGTAGCCTTCTGGGATAGGCATCGGTGGCACAGGAGGTGAAGGAATTTTTAAATCTTTAAGCATAAATGATTGGCTAAATTCCAAAAATTAAATACTAATTTTAAATGAAAACTGACATGTTTTATAATATATAATTCTATAACTGAACCATGAAAAGGAGTATTAGTGAAAAGGAGTATTAGTTGTAATATTAAGTTGTGTGAAGTTGTTGAAATGAACACCTTGGGTTTTTGACGGAGAAGCTCTCGACTTCCAGTAGCTCTCCCAAAGGGTCATCCTGACAGTGGACAATGTGCTGTCTTTGTTTGTCATACAGCTGCTTCCCCATGATGTACTGGCCCAGGTAATGCATCACCTGAACAAAGAATAGGAACATCATGCTTTCATGTATCCACTGCTTTGTGCACATGGATAAAACACAGGGAATACAAACAGTTTAAATAAATTGCAGCAAAAGAAATCTGTGTGATCGATGTTTTTTACTGATTGTTTTAAGTTAATTTGCCTGCAGCACCAGTACAATGTCACTACAATATCCAGTTTGACCAAATATTTTCTAAGGGTGAATGTCTCATTAGTTTCTGGACTTGTTGCCTCTAATTTAAAAGAATGGTATGTCACAGGCTTTCATTCCTTGACTACTGTGACACCTTCAAACCAGGCCATTCAATTACTGCATGTCAAGTACTGATTAATGCAATATAGGTGTTAAAAAGCCTGACCTTTGGATACCCCAGGTCTAACTATAACAATAATAATAACTACACTAACCTTACAGAAATTACAAGAATCAATTCAGTGTCACGAGATCAAATAACCATGCAAACCTTGTTGTCATCTTCAAATGGAAAAATGGAAAAAAATGACTAAAAGAGTAAAATGTGTTTATTGGTGTTTTTATTGTATTATTAGCCATGGTCTGGAAGTACACTTCGTGAGTGAGAAACCTGCTCTTCTCTAACCAAAGATCTTTGCACTGGGGTGGCCTGTCATGAGTCACTCTGTCAGAAGTCACTAGCCTTGGTACTGGGGTGACCAATGGTCAGGTGAGAAACTTGAATAGCAGGATCTCCATGTACTACATGAGTTCCAAGTTGACCTGTGAGAGTTCTGATGAGTTCCACACTCATGTAACTGCACCTTTAGATATGATGTTACAATGCAAAGCTCATCAAAATAGCATGGAAAGTCCTGGAAAGTTAATCAAAATGGTCAAAATAGCAAGGTTGCACAAAAAATTCTTACGTACATTTGCTAAGGTGAGACCTGCTGCGAGACGCTAACAGGATGTGGTAACATCCTTCACTCCACTCGTACAGAAATAAAGATCAAAACATCACACTTAAAATGCTACATCTCTTATATTCAACTAATATCACTTCTCTACTTTTAATGTAATTAAAAAATAAAAATATAAAAAATAAAGGTAAAAAGATACAAGTACAAAAATGAGAACATGAAATCTTAAGGAGCAAAAGCTTAATTCTCCTGGATTCAAGAATCTTGGGGGAGGTGGTGGATTCTCATCACTGTACTTTCTTCTTTCAACATGATTCACAAGAGGATTCTCAACAATAGGCAAGAGTATTTGCATTTAGTACATCACAATGTTATTGAAGTAATATACCTCCCAAGGGTAGTTTTGACCTCTGCAAAAGTGTTTTGAATGCATGATATACTTTTAAGAGTTTAAAATGTGCAAGGTGGAATGATTTGAGTTAAAAATTTGTCTGCAAAAGTGCAATTAGAGACACATTTTATGACGCAACTTTTATGTTTGAACTGACCTCTTTCAAAGTGAAGATTTCTTCCTGTGCGCCAGCGACACGCAGGATCTGGAGGAGCGGAGCTTTAGGCTGCACCTGCGTAAACGATCGTAAACAATCATTAGTCCTGAACACTACATCTAAACACTTAAATTGTAATTTTATGCATACCTGATTGCCTTCCCCAGGTAAAGTCCTGCATGATGAGGCTGGTGCAGGAAGCTGCGTGGTTAGGGAACTCATAGTACCCTAAAAAAGGTCTGGAAAATATCAGGCAGCTGTCAATTTCCTGACGAATGCCATTTTACGCACGGGTTAACAAACGTCACGCACACAGCCACGTAACCGAACTATTCATTATTTCGTTATTTCAACATGATATTAACAAACTTAGACCTGCACAATTTAAACAAGTAAATTAGTCAATACGTGTGAGCAATAAAGCTAATTATTTAGACGAACAAAAGTGCAGAATTTTCCTTTCTGGAGAGCAGACGTCAGAGCGCACATGTAAATAAAGCCTTCACATATAGCATTTACATTAAAGCTTTTTGCTAGACCAAATTATTGCCACAATTCTGACATAAAACTACTATGTAATGTGAATAAACTATGTATTTTGCCACATTTAGGTTTAGGTAACTCAATAAAGCTGTTCAACACAAATTCATAAGTTATCAAACGTGTCACTCGGAGGCTAACGGGCTAACATTATCAAAGCAACGAGCTAGCAATAACATAAAAGTACATTAGTTTTCTTTAATGGAGACGTAGCCTTACCGTAGTGCCGTGATTCGCTACATCGTTGCACCAATACTTATAATAGTCTAAATATTACTTAAATAAGTGTAAAAGACAACCAATTAACATTTGTAGTCCTCAAGTGCTAATGACAGCTAGCTTCAAATTCAAAAATGAAACTTCCGGGAGATTCGAGAGAAGAGCGCCACCTGCTGCTAATTTTTGCATCGCGGGCACGAAATTTTTAATTTTTTAAAATAAACAATCTTGGGGAAAGTGAGAGGTAAGCAGTCTACATTTATAATATTTTTTTTATTACTATTCATTAAAGTACTATACATTTAATGTGTTCGTGTAAACTAACTTTGTTTCCAATAGTTTTCTACTTATACTATGGTGACACTGGTTATGCCATGCATCAATGTACATAACCTACTGTGTCTTGTGTGGATGTGCACATGGATATGTACTCTAGTTAGCCTATGAAGTAAGGAATTTCACATCTTTGAGTTGAGAGTGAGTTTTTCTTCAATACTAAATTTTATGATTTCAGTTATGCGTAAATGCACTTTATTATGAATCATCATATCTATCTATTTAGTTTGAGGCATATCTTATAAATGACCCAGAGACATTATTTGTAAAAGAGATGTATTATTCTTTCTGATTAAATATTTCCATTCAATAACACTGTATTATAAAACTATTTAATGCAGAGAGGTTCACCTCAGGTCCCACATTTTAAAAACAAAAGAGTGAAACAGGAAAGAAATGAAAGACAAAAACTCATGGCCCCTATTTTTTAAAATAAAAGTTAACATAAAAGTCTGCTAAGATAAGAACGGACAGATGCAACCTTTTCACAGATCTGTAGTTACAGTGCAAACATCTCTATTCAGTTCAAATGGCTGAAAACAGAAATCCACCAAACATCCTTGAGAATATGACCAGCTTATCACAATAGCTTATTTTACTGGGAGTATTATCTTCAACACAGGAGTAATTCAACTTGAGTCCAAAATGAGTAGTAGTTTTTGGAAGCCCAAAACTCACATGAGCTCCCTTTCACTAAAAATAAGAGGGTCTAGTTGTGGGCCTGAGACCCTGGGATCTGGGACATCATGATCTTTAATATTCATTGAGACATTACAAAACACTGAATTAAATTACCTGCATATTCCTTGAGATGTTTGTAACAATTTTTACAAAAGAGGAAACCAAAGTCCACATAACAACTGCACTTTGAGATTATCGCACTGTTGTTCTAATGTTTCTTAATGAAAATATTTATTCAGATGGATGCTGTTAAACATGATTAAAAACTAGCAGTATTTTACATACAAATAAAAGTAAGTGTATAACATTCAATTCTGACCCATTCTCTGAACCTGCAGTTTGTGCTTCTCCACTCAGGGAGGTGCTATAAAGTCGCAATGTGAACACTGAGTGCAGCTGTAATTTAAACACCTTAGTCACAGAAATTAATAGTTGACTGATATTTTATAATGTACTGTATTTTACAAGGGCTACTGCTACTTGTATTTGTATTTGTATGTTGTTGTATATATGTTGTCTCCGATGTTTATGTTCAATGGCAATAAATATATTCTATTCTAACTGTTTTTCAAATGACAGAAAAGTTACATTTATTTCCCTCAAATCTTTCAGCTCTGCCCTAAAATAAGTATAATGAGGCTGTATGATATAAACATTTGCATTTAGAAGCATTAGAAGTTGTATAGATAATGTGACCAAAGTGAGTTTTTTCCATGTACAGCATTGAGCATTGTGAAGGTTTTGACACTTTCTGAAAGGAATATTGCACATAACTGTGTATTAATCAGTGATTTGTCTAAATACAATTACAGTATTTACCCACCACACATAATAATGTTAATACCAGGGTGTTAAATTGAAAACATTCAAATGAATATTCAAGATGTGTAAAAAGGATATGATTGTAACGATTGATTTTGTAGAACTTAAATTGCTACTCTCACAACTATAGCCTACATTGGGCCTTGTTAAAAGCAGAAAGTTCAAGTAAAGGTTTAAACACTACGGTGAAACTGGACTGAGTTTAAGTTTCATTTCTCTTCCTCACCGCGAAAATCAGAAACAATAAAAGTGCTTTGGCAAAAATTCAAGTCTTTCAAGTTCACACACTCAAAAAGGAGCAGAGACAGGACCTAAAGTCTGGAGCTGTGCTGAAAAAAAATTGTACTCTTCACAAGTGGAAGACTGGAAATGAATGAGGATCACATTTCACGCTTCATAAAAAGTTGCATTTCCTTTTTAACCTAAAATCATACATTAAAAGGTCTACCACACTCAATAAAACAAAAGATGAACTATGTACATTTTCGAGTGGTGAGTTCACTGCTTGCTTGTCTCAAGATGTTATGCTAGATGATATTGCTTTGCCTGTAATGTTCCACAGTATGGTATTAAACAGATCCATCCATTGATAATTTGAAATACCTGTGTTTTTAGAGCTAAAAATACGTTGAAAAACATGATGGACACTTTTACTGCCATACAGGACGGCAAAGCAATAACATCACTAAGGAGACAAGCAAGTAGTGGATCCTCTAATCAGAAAAGTTACACAGTGCATCTTTAAAAACAGAAAATAAGTTCTGTAAAGTCAATAAACATTTTGAAATAAAATTCATATCAGGACACAAGGTAAAATTCCCCTCCAAGAAAAATAAAAATAAAAAATTCTATCATCAATAAAACTGCCTGATGTAATGACTTGAAAATATCGATGGCGTTTCCACTTGTTATGCTCATAAATCACACTCCACCTGAATCAAGCGTATACATTTTTATACAAATTCAGGGTTCTAAATGAGATATTTAGATGTTTCCACCTCCTGCTACTTATGCAAATCCTCAAAATGCACTTTAAAAATAAGGAGATGGAAACTATTGTCGTTGTTCTCTGCTTCAATATTGTTCAGCTGTTTCTGACATAAAAACAGAAAGATCTCCAAAGGGTTTTACTCTGCTCTGTCCTTAAGCCCCTCCCTCTTCTGTACCATTTATGCTGCTCATCCTGGAAGCTCCCTGTTTTTTTTCATTCTTCCTCTTTCTCTCCATTCTTCTCTACCTCTCCATCCACTTTCCACCTAGCCTCCTCCTCCTCTTCTTTATACAGTAACATTCAGTCCAGTCTTCTCCAAAGGAACAGCAAAAGCAGATGTTAATGTGCGCAGGAGCTGTAGACCGGAGTTAAGATTCTGCCGTACTACGCTAACAGGTCCTGAAAACAGATGGGGATAAGATAGGCAAAAATAATGGCAACAATATTACAATGTGATCCACAGAATAGGTACAAATTATGTCCAACACTAGAAACAAGTGAACAGTAAAATAGCTTAAATAGTAAACAGGGTTTCCAAATCAATCTTTCTAAAATGAAAACATGCTTCCTCTTAAAATTTCCTCTTAAATTTGCTTAACATTTTGCAAACTAAAGCTAAATATTTTCTATAAAATATTTTTAATACTAAAACAACATAAAATTTGTGTCAAAAAGTACCACTCATTGTGCAATGGAGAATGGAACCCTGAAAACCTTTTACAAAATCAACATGTTGACCAAGATGAGTGTTTTTCATGGCCGATGTGCCCCGAAGTATATAACTTGAATTTAATACAAACTCAACTAGCCGATAAAAACTGCAAATATTGGCTAACCGTTATCAGTATCAACCTAACCCTAAACAACCTTTAGACACTTAACATTAACTCATGAAATCTGCCTTGTCGTAATCTTACAGCTTCTCTGATTTGTCAATTTGTCTGTCTGAATGTTTTAATATAGCTCTTTTAATTGTTACATAATACAATTACTGTACACTGTGTTTAACCATAGGCTTAAAGGGGTTGATCTGCTCTTACTGTATCTGTCAAGAGACAATAGATGAAAATTTGTCTTTTGGCTAATTCTGGCACATTTACAGTAATGCTGATTAATGCACACTGTCCCTGTAAAATAAATAAATAATTGAAGTTACATGTATGAAATCTAATACCTGATCTGAGTCTTCATTGTACTGTGCTTTCCCCGTCTCCATGTAGTTTGTGTCCACATCATCCACTCCCTCGATTTTATTTGCTTCAACGTTGTCCCGCATCACCGAGTATCTGTGCACGAGGAACCTGCAACAAAAACATCAAGAATTAAATAAAAACAAGTAAAAATATAAAATATTTACCTCTGAATAAATGTATGCTCACCTTCCTCCACAAATGTACTTTTTGACAAGCCAAACTCCAGTGACAGCGCTGGACAGAAGAATCGCTATGATAACCAGAACTATGAGGGCAGTGTTGGTGGAACTGGAGACTGGCTGTAAAAAATAGAATAATAGTAAAAAATAAAATTAAACCTGTGAAATATGACAATGCTCAACTATGACAAGCTGGTGTGCTCTTCAAACAATCATCCAACTTTGGGATATTCCAATAGCTGCTTATTGTCTCTCTAAGTAGCTGCGTGGAATCCATCTTCACCAGTACTTATACTAAAATGTAATCTAAAATGTGCATCTGGTCACTGTTGAATCTCCTCGAGTTGAGGTGGATGCGACTGACAGGTGGATTCGCTAATCAGGGACATCGCATGGTCCGTCTATATCAAAACAAACATTGCTGCTAATGTATCTATGACAGACGTTTATTTGTAGCTTGTCTCTCAAATACGACTCACAAACATTTTCATATCATTTAAAACAAATTTTTTCTTCTTCTGTAGAAATCCAATGTGTCTCAGTTGTCCACCTGTTAATCACACTAATGAGAGACAGAGAACTTTATAAACTAATGGATATTTTGTTGTAGTTCATTATTTTTTGCTTTATTTACACAGGTTGAAAATTAATTAAATGGTTTACGTTTAAGTATTTCAGAACATATAAACAGTGGGCTGGTGTTTTCCATAATTACCATTGTGAATAGTTGTTATTGTTCTTTTGAAGAATAGACTATTTCTTTTAGTTTACAGATGGAGAACAGTTTGTATGTTTTGAGCTGTTTTTCAAAGGCTTGGTTTCACTCTCAAAATTTGGCAACCCTGATATTCTAGCAGTTTGTTTTGTTTCTGCCTTATGTTAGGGGCCACACATCCTGAAAAGTTACACCACCTTTCTTTGATTGTTTATAAAAAGTTGAAATGTCAGATCTGACCAGAGCATTTGGCTGCTGGGCGTCATTGATGCACTTCCTCTTCAGGTCTGTCTCTTTCCTTTCTGGCTGGAACCCTCCAATGCAACGGTCCCCAGGAATCTTCCGGTACCTTCAAAATATTTTCAAAAGATACACAAATATAAAAAGGCCTGTACCCAGTTTGTTTATTTGACCAAGATTTTTTTTGCCCCTGTAGATGAAATAAGGACAGAATATGTCTAAAGCAAATTTATTTTTCAGTAATCCAAACTAAGGAAAAATTTTGACCCCTGCAAACCATTTAAAATGAAGTAGTTCTGTTTTTTCACATTTTAAAGATTGTAAAATCCAGGACAGCACCTCGATATGAAGATGAAGGGGGTTTGAGGGACTAAAGATGTAAGAGCGAGACAGCAGGATTTAATAAAACTACAGGTGGTGTAATCCTTATGTTATTGCTTTGTGTTTTTGCTACAGGCTGTCCACATCGTCATTTAAAGTGGCATTAGCTGCTTCTATCCCCAGGACACTAGAATATGAGATTTAATTTATTTTATTAAAAGTCAACCTGAAATCACCAAATTAAAATGTCAATATCTAAATTTAAGTGTATAAAAGCAAACTAATAACTCCTACCATTCTTATTTCTCATTGTATTTTACACCAAATGGCTTTCATTGCTTGTTCATTTCCTTCAAAATTTAAAGCTACCATTTGTAAGTAAAATGTACTAATTGTTGCTTTCTCACTACCAGACGCTATCTAACTTATTGCTCTTTGGTAGTGTGCTAGCTTTTGGGCTGATAAAAAAAAAAGACCAGAGAGGGCAGGTGAGTCTGAACAAAGGCCAGGTGAAGGGACGGGGGGCGGAGGTTCTACCAGTTAAAAAATACACACATATACAAAAACATACAGATGGAAACTTCTTGGTAAAGCACCTTAGGGTCGTATACAGTAAGAGTAGTGAAGCCTGGTTCTCACCCGCTGGTCTGCAGCTGCTCTGTGGTCCCATTCAAACAGAACTCCAGTGGTTGTCCCTTCAGCTCCTCCTGCTCCACACACTCGGAGCTGTTGTCCGGGCGGTAATAGCCAAAGTCACTGTACAAGATTAATGCAGCCAATGAGGGAACAGTCAAGGTTATTAACTGTAAATAGGAGGTGCTAACAAGTTCAAAAAAGTTTCTAATTATGCATTACTTAAGCTTTTAATTCTGACCTGAAGTATAGTATATGTCTTACAACCTAAAATATATGTTAAAAGGCATGGACAACATGACAAAGCAATATTTTCCCCAACTTTTAGCATAGAAAAAGCACAAAAGTTGCCTGGAATACTCCACACTATAGCAGTTAACTACTGAAAACTTCATTAAAACACAAACTGAATCACTCCAGTATTATTAGCAATAATGGGCAACATACCAGTGATAGTCATTGGGGGTGCAGGGGCAGGGGGCAATTTTAGTCTCAGTCTCATAGTCTTTGCCTTTATAACAAACAGCTCCTTTTCTCAGACGCAAAAAAGTCTCTTTAAACCCCAGAACACATTGGTCTGAGGGTCCGGAGGGGTCTGAGTGAGAGAGCCATGGCACAAAGTCCTCCTCTGTACCTGCACAAAAACAGAGAAGAAACAGCTACATATGATTAGATTGAAGCTGGAATGTCTGCAACCTGGTTGAATGGGAGATTACATCATACAGAGCTAGACTACTTTTTAAATTAGATTCTGTAAAAACTGGCACCATTTCTCAGTCTTGTGTTGTTGTTTTTTTTCTTTTTTACTCGTAATCTGCCATGTTTGTTTCAACATAAACGACCCATGCATTTCTCTGATTGGTTAATCCACCTGTCAGTCATTCTCATCAGAAATCATGGAGAGAAAATAATGTTTGTAAGGTATTGTAAAAGCGTGTGATCTTAGCTGGTCTGGCAATAATAGCTTGTACAGTACGAATAATCACTACTGAAATCCCCACACCCCTGGGAGGCACACTCACAATCTCTGCTGAGCACCTTGCGCAGGTCGATGGTGATGACGACCCAGCGGCTGTAGTCATTCCTGTAGCCCCACAGACTCAAGTTCATGGATCTGGAGCCAGGCTCAGAGTCCAGACCGCTGAAGTGAAATGGCTCTGATGTGAAATTAAAGGAGTGCCAGCACTGACCCTCGTCTACAGAGTATCTGAGAAGAGAGAGAGGGGGACATAGTATAATTGTTAATAAACAGACACTACAGACCTAACTCTATTTCTTTTGGTGTATTCCTATATTTATATGGTTAAGTAGTACTAAAGCTAGAATTTTATCTAATTATGCATTTTTATGTTGATGGGAGAAACCCTAGTTCCTGCAGGAAACCCACCAAAACACAAGAAGAACATGCAAACTCCACATAGAATGACCCAGAGTCAAACTTTTTAAGCAAACTTGAAAAACAACTTAATTATAGTGTAGTTATTATGACTAATTGCGAGACTCACTTGATTTGGTTGACAGGGGAGTTGGTGTGTTCCACGGCGACTATGAGCCCTCCATAGTCCAGAATGGCATAATGATGAGGCCCTTTTAGAGCGAAGAACCAGGAATATCCTCCATCATCAGATATGTAAACATCAGGAGACAAAATGGACTCCCCTTCTCCAATACTGCCTACAGAATACACAGAGTTAAATACACAGTAAAATACATGAGTCTAAATACATTCAGAATATTAATTTAAGATTTATAAGCTAGAATACTAAACTGAACTTTTATATTAACGGAATAATTGTCTTACTCATATTTTGTAAGTAGCGGATGGAGTTAGAGTTAGAAATACTGTTTACAGTTAAACATATTAAATACAAAAAAGCATAATAGGCCTTACCGTGTGCAATGATGAGTCCAACAGCATTGGACTGGGACAGCGGTAACATGGGTACATTGAGCTTCAGACTGGTGCTGTAGGTGGAGTGGATATGGAGCTTGCACTGTAAGAAAAAGGTTATTAAGGGTGTAAGAAATCAAATGCACTGATCTAATATTTGTATCATAAACTTGTCCTGATAAATATTTAACTACAATATATTGCTACGTAAAAGGAGGTTTTTGTTATGTTTTACCCTGTGTGGTCTGTTAGCAGATGCTTCAGAGTCACAGTTCTCTGGGCTTTTCAGCGGCTGCCATGTTGCTCCCTGGTCAAACGTGATCACTGTCTCTACCTCTCCATCTGTTAGGTATAGTTATTATAGTTAATTACATTCAATATTTTAAATTCTATCAAACCACTGGGTTAAAGGGCCCTTACCTCAACACAATATTTTACTATGAAGGCTCATTACCAGTCAGAGTCAGTCCATCTTACAGTACGAGATATGTTTTGTGGTAAGTGGTGAGACATTATGATTACCTTCAGTGAGGATACTAGTCATGTAGACTCCTCTCAGTGAAGACACCACAGTGAAGTCCGTGTCACTCCCGGTGGTTGTGTACAGGTGGCGCTCTAGAGACTTTGAGAATACCGTCCCTCTGTCGTCAGATACATAGACTGTCCCCACTCCAGAGTCTGACAATACAGCAATCAACATCCAGATGATTCAGTTAATCAACATTATGATGATTCAGGCCACAATATATTTGCAACTACACCAACAAAAAAAATACGTGTACGTTTCTGGAGGTGGCATAAAACCACACGTCAGAACATTATCCATGGAGATAACCTGTCTGTACCTCCAGGGTCGTCCACGTGCATGAACACCAGCTCCTGATTGGCTGAGAGAATGGAGTAGAATTGTTCGTGGTTCACTGTGGGAAGCTGAGCAGAGTTCCACAAATCTCCACCGTCTACAGATACATGGATCATCCGCTCTGTGCCCTAAAGAGAGAAGCATTTAAAAACACTGAAATCATAGTTGATCATATAGAGCTTTACACCAATTTTATATTACCCCGGGCTCAGACTGCACCCTGTCTAGCTTGAGCTGGGTGCCGGACCAGTCTGTGACATGAGGACCAGCTGTGCAGTTGTGATCACTGCCTTTGAAGGCTGCACATGAGACCACGTGTTCACATTATAACATTTTATTTATTAAGGGTAAAGGCTGCAGTCGCTCCGGCGTCTGGCAAAAATAGAATCCAACTGAATTCATTCATGCAAGTGTGTGGTCTGAGCTCCTCTCACTACTTTTACTGTACAGAATACTCACGGCCACTGGACCGGAGTTGCACTGCATGCAGTCTAAGCCCAGAGTTCACATATAAACACAAAATATACTGCTATATTACACATGGGTTTTTTTGCCTAGCCAATCCAGAATAATATCACTCTGTATTTTTATACAGAGGGATAACAGTCTGGTCTCCACTCTCTTCGTTGCATCTTGACCCAGAACCAAACATGACTGTGTAATCAGATTTGTTTATTTTAGTGATATATGAAGCAGCTCTTTGGTTATTTTGTATAAAATGAAATGTATCTCACATCAGATTAACAGAGTTTAGGGTTTTGCTCACTGATTCTGTAGAAAACAGCAATGTTTTTCAGTCCCATGATATTTTTTTCCTTTTTTTTTTCCCTTGTAAGCAGACATTTGTTTTGATATGGACAGAACATGTATGTCCCTGATGATCTAATCCCCCTGTCATGCCTATCGGAACTAACTACTTCCTAACAATCTAAGCATATTGCTGCATATTTAGCTTCATTACACTTATTTCCATTTTGAATCACTAGTGACAGGGCACCAATCTATCAACTCTATAATCAGTCTATATTCTGCTGATATTTAACAATGCCAGTTTTAGTATCAATAAAAAAACATGGACAAAAGCATCGACTCAAGAAATACTACAAGATGAAAGACCTATTTCAAGATGAGACTAAAATAAAATTTACCGAACCAGTCATTATCGATGCAAAAACAAAACGTCCACCCAAAACAAAGGAGTAAACTCTAGTGGCGATGATTTTGAAACTTCTGCCGTAATCAGATGACCTCCTGAGCTCCAGCATCCCTTTGTCATCTAAAGGAGGAATAAGAAGTACCAATAAAGCAATGTATGCATTTACTATTGTCATTTTAAAGTGCGTGTTGACTTACTGCATGACCCATTATGGTTTGTGGTGAAGAAAATGTTGTTGTTTGGGCCCCTGTGTAAAAAAGGGTTCTCTTTAGTTTCCAAGAGAATTATGTATATAGTAAATATTACACATTTATTTAAACTAAAAGATTAAAGATGGGTAACCATTTTTGTCAATGTATTTTCCTCCAACTGTTATGTTGACCAGTAAAAGCAAACGTCACTCAAAGCAAGTAAAGTTTGTCATCATGATTACTCAACTATGAACCTGGTGTATGGAGAAAAACTTTGAAATCTTACCATCGCACCAAGCAAACACTGTCATGGATCTTCCTCCAGGTGGCGCCAAAGTCCTCAGACAGCCACAGGTCCAACTGATGGGGACAGAGCATTCAACTTAAAGAGGACATCACTAGATAGTATAAAGTACACCTGTTGTCTTTAATTGAGATGAGATGGTATTTGAATCTCAACCATGGCTTTTACAGGTAAATTTTAGCACAATTTGAATAAAAATGATCATTAATATCTTCACTGGGATAATCCAAATACGATATTGAGATCAAAGATAATTTTTTTCCTTAATATTCCTCGCATCTACAGTCCTTGTCATTTTTAAGTTATGATTTAGCAGTTAAACATTTCTGGACATTCCTTTTTGTAACCAGCATATAACATATGAAGAAATACTGGCTCTACCCATGCTCTGATATGAGAGAGAGAAGGAGAGATACTGCCTACTATCTATCCAATTGTGGACCTAACTATTTAATAAAACATTTATTTATTATTTTATTAGCAGCATTTGGTACCGTGATGCTGAGAGTCAGGAGTACGTCGCAGTCCGCAGGGTTAAAGAGCATCTGAATAAGGGGCTCGAAGGGCAAGTCAATCGCTTCAAAGGTCAAACCAAAGTCATGTGACCGAAAGAGTTTAAAACCTCCCAAGTCTGACACATCACCAGTCAGAATCACCTACGAACACACAAGACGTTTAATGAGCGGAGCAAACAAGAGCAGACAGGAGCAGACAAAAGCAGACAGGAGCAGACAGGAGTAGATGAGCGGGTCAGATGGTGCAGAGGATGCAGAGGAGAGAGGCAGCTGGAGTAGAGGATGAAGATGTGAGGGGTAGGTGGGGTAAGTGTTTCTTCTTACTTTGCCAGAGTGGTCAGGACTGATAGCGATGCCAAACTCAGTCTGTATAAATGTGTGGTTGATGAGATGAGTGACGTCTTCAAATGTTTTTCCATAATCTTCACTGAAAAAAAAAAAGACAGTAATTGGCCTGGCAATTATGGTTAGACATAGATAATAACAATTAGTCTAGAAATGGCTCTTAAAGGTGCACAACAAAACTTTTCTGGTGCAGGGTCTGTCACTTGAGATAGAGATGTGAATGTTTTGTCTAGAATGTTCCATAGTATAGTTAGCATTCACTTATCTACCTTGCACTTGTTCAATTATATGTGCTTTTATTTCCAGCAAAATGCTTATTGTGAACAGATTTGTCTCTCCACAGATATGACCTGTTAGCCTCATAGCGCAATGGGCTTGTCTCCACAAAAACCCTCCCTCAGAAAAGTTACAAAATGCACCTTCAAGCCCCACAAACGTAATAAACTCCCACCACAAACTAAATGTGGTTATTACGTTTGTGGTGGAGAACTGTTATTATGTTTGAAGGTTTGAATTATACTACATTGGGGATTATTATGTTTGTGGGTCTAACAGCACCTTAAAATTGCATCTATAAATATTTGTTGGGGGTGAAAGAAAGAAAAAAATCAATTCAAAATATATTGTGATACTTCATAATCCCGAACCGATTTTTAAAATATTTTTCACAAAAATTAATTAGTTACATTCACTGTTCTCTTCACTGTCATTATTTTAAAACATTTATAATATTGCATACAACTTAGTTCTCTTCAAGGTGTAGCTGACTGTATTATTAGAAGTAATTGATAAATCCCAATATATCAGACATTGTTTTAGTATCAGGATATATCATGATATATTGAATCGTGACAAGCGAATCATGATATTTATCGTATCGTCAGACTCAAGATGCACACCCTTAATATTTGAATGATAGGGGTGTAATGTACACAAATATCACGGTTAGGTATGTACCTTGGTTTTGAGGTCACGGTTCGGTTCATTTTCAGTACAGTATGGAAACAATACCATTTGCTTTATACAAATGGGAAAATAAAATCAATGCAAAGTGCTGCTTGGTAATACTAATAAGTTAAAGAAAATATTGTCAAATAAGCAACAAATGTAGGAAGTATTATAAAAAATAAATTCCTTGTAAACAGTAAACAAAACATTTCAAAAAGAAAAGCGCAGCACTAACAGTTCCAGGATGAAGTTTTACTTAATCCAGAAAAAACTAATTGTCCACATTGTCTGCAGTAAGAGCAGATCCGCTGGCAGGGAGATTCCATGCTGGCGAAATGCAAAAGTGAGGACCGGGGTGGGACAACAGTAGTTTTGTGAGTATTCACATGGTTCAGAGGGACATAGTCAAGGCAGGAGGCAATTGTTGTCAAGGTGGCCGCCCTAACTATAAAGTCCTGCAGGAAACACTGCACCCCAATCACGGACGGGTTCCCTTGTGAATATTAAAGAGCCGAGCCTTCCGTGTAGCTGCACATGTAGTGATGGAATGTAAACACACACAAATTGTGTAAATTCACTTGTGCACTGCCCTACACAGTACTGAACGACCTTTACCAAAATGGTTCAGCACGAATACATGTACCGTTACACCCCTAATGTTTGATAATATTTTTATTAACCACTGATATTCATTAAAAATAAAAAATGTGTGGTTTGGATGGAGGAGCTCAAACTTGGACATTTTCTCACCTTCTATAGAGGTTGGACTGTCCCAAACGCAGCATAAACAAAGGGACATGAAATGTGGTCAGCACCAGCAGCACCTAGAGAGCAAAACCGCAGGACTTTAAATGGTCCAGTTTTTATTCTTTAGTCTTTTTACATTTGTATTGAATTGAATACACTCACCCCTGATCCATCTCCAACCCAGGCCAATGACAGGGAGCCCATGGTCCGCACTTTGAACGTGAACTAGAAAAAATGAATTTAAAAATTATTTTGTTTAGTCTTCAAAAATATGCATAGTTTATAGTTAAGAAATTCATTTTTAATCCAATGTTGTTATTTCTCTGGGAGACATTCCCCATTGCACAGTATGGCATTAAACTTATTGATCTGTAGGGAGACAAGCAGCTGAGGTCTTTAGGCCAAGTTACTGGTCAGATCTGTGAAGAGGCAAGCCAGCTCACAGTAGGGATCCATGTTTTTCAAGGTACTTTTGAAGAATATAGACACATATAATTGAATATAAGATAGACAAGTAACAGGACATAGTGTGGAACATTCAAAGCAAAGTAATAACAATGCTGTGGAGGCAAACAGGTAGCTAACCCTCCACGAGTAAAGTTACAGAATTCAACTTTAAGAAGCTGAACTCAAATAAATAATTATTAATATACAAATATTACATTCTATTAGATTTTAGTTCTTCAGAGGTTTACGTGCATATTATCAAGACCCAGTGGCTTTGAGTTCCCATTTTTCATGCTGCTATTTAAGATGGATTAAATTTGTCCATGCATCCACATCCTTCCTCATTTAAATCACGAATATCTTTATACATTTTTACCTATAATAAACCAAGTCATTAGTGCGTTTTAATGAACCATCCCTTGCATTTGCAGTAACTGGTCTGTCTGCTGCTCTGTGTGAGTGACCTACATTCAACTCAATGACAAAACAATGACCAGTGAACAGGACAAATGCACTGTCCCAGGCTCAGCAGGACCAAAGAACAGCGCAGCGCCAAGAAAACACGCTCTCAGGACTCATTTACACATCCAGATTAAATGTTATTAATTGAGGTTAAGATGAGGTTATTGTTTGATTGTGTTCTGTAAAGTAATTTGCCCTCTTGCAATTGCTCTATTCTCCGATGTCGTTGCAGGTGCAAAATCTGTTGGGAGCAGTGGACCAGAACTGAGCCTGGTCCCTGGTCAGGAGAGGAGAATTTAGCTGGAGGATTACACTACTACTGTGCATCATTTTTGTTTGATGGGATAAAATAGAGGTACCCAACACCCAGACACAGGAAGAAGATTCAACTACAACAAGAATGACATATCTTAGTGGACAGTTTTTGTCCCAAATTAAAACAGAATAATTGGGTGTTTCATAATGTAATATGACAACACCGACAGGGCTGATCATTTCACAATTTCACAACACAAACATTATATTTATCCTCAACTAGGTAATTGCGTTGAGTCATTCTTCCCCAGACATACATTCAATTCATACAATACTTACAAATGGTTAAAAAAAAAAAACTAGCAACCTATACTGAAGAACATATATTTAAACATACAAACAAGACATGCACATTTGTATTGTACCATTCAAGGTTCTCAAAGTACATCCTATTATATTATTAATTGAAGGTCAGTAATATTTGGTGCTGTTTCTGTAGCCACAGCTGCTCGGGGACTGAGTAGCGATTATATAGCAGTCAATCTCTGCCAGTGACCTCTTCAAACACCTCAAATGACATTTATCTATTCACACTGGCTAGATTGCGAATTCATTCAAAAATACTACAAATTCAAGAACACTGTGTTTCAAAAAAAAAAAAAATCATGTTATTTGAAAATCTACTGAAAACAATGGTGTTTAAAAGTTTAAACAATTCTCCACCGGATTCAGACTGAAAAATTTATAAAATCGCAATTATCTGGCTTTGATGATGTGCAAAATTAGAGCATTGTGTATGTCATAAATAGAACCATTAAAAGTGACAGCAAAATGAGACTTAATTGTGTTTAGTGTAATCTTCCAAACAAGAGGATACAATTATGTATAGTCTTTCCTTTCCTGGTTCATATAATAGTCCATTCTCATTTTGTGTAACATTTGAACCTCAACCAAGATATTTACAGGCAGCACATTCTTGATGTATCCCCCACAAACACAATATTTCAGTGACATTTCTTCCCTCAGTCCTCTATGTCTGAACCAGGAAGTCTTTGCTCCTTGGTTCATTCTTTGGCAGGGAGCATGTTTACAAGGTGAGCTCTGCCTGAGACTGTACAGCTGAACCACAGGGAGCAGGGTCTGATGGAAAACTATAAAAAACTCCAGTGGAAAAAACAGTGAGAACAACAACTTTCCTGCAGTAAAAATAGCACTTTCACTAATCCAGGGGCCAGCAAATTCACCATTAAGAGTTAGAACATGTCACCTCGCAAATGCCTCCATAAATTGTACATTCCTTTACAAAAAGCTAGTTACTAAAGCTCCAAGAACAATTGATTTTGAAATGTTATGCTGAAAACCTGATTTCTGCCTCATTTTTGAGTCGTTTACTTGTGGGCTGCCTATCCTACATAATCACAGTGTACTACAGAGCATATCTGTGTGATTGCATTGGTTTTAAAAGGCCCATAATATGCTATTTTCTGATCTATGTCACAATGTTGTTTCCTCATCAAAAAACATACCTGGAGTTGAGTTTTGTTTCCTTCCATATGTTTAACACACAAACCCTGCATATTTAGGCTGAGTTCCATACACCTTCACTAGACTCATTTGGATAATTTTAGCACTGGAACTGCTCTCTGTTCTCTTCTGAACAAAAGGTAAAAAAACAAAACAAAAGCTATTATCTTGAAAACTACCACTACATGACATCACAAGGATAGACTTATAATAAAAATGTTACTCTAACATGTGTGATCAACTCCAGTTATGTTTTTGGTGACATAACAACATTCTAACCAGTCTTAAAGCTCACAAAAGTCATGTTTGTGTAATACAGGGCCTTTAATGCCTGGATGTCTTGTGTAGGATACCTGACCTGTGTTGAGTGTTAATCTATTCTAGCGTGAGGGTCAGTGGGGCACATTGGCAGCCATGTCTCTTGAAGGTAACAAAAGTACAGCATTTTAGTTATCCTGAAAGCTCATACTTCACTGTGATTGGGTAAATACACTTGTCACTCACTCTGCTCCAATTGGATGCTGTTGCCATAGTGATGAACATTTTCGAACAAAATATTACATCTTTTGAATGGAAAAAATCTTCAAACATTGCAAATATCAGGAAGCTGAAACCATGAATAGGACGAGTGGGTGGAAAAACTGTTTGAATATAGCACTGCATTAAACAGAAGCACTGAATGATGAAAAATTACCACAAAGATGAGATTACAAAATTTCAGTACTGTGGATGGACTACTTTCTTCACATTACAGTGTAGTGTTTCTGATAAAGTCCCACCCAGGTGAGTTGTGCGCAGATCAGCGGTGCTGTGGTCTAAAGCAGGTCTCAGAGAGGTCACACACAGAGACTCTTTATTCAGACTCTGGATCTGAAAAAGCTCTGGCCCTGGTCATGTTTACACAACACACTGACCAGAATCTATAGAAAAGCGCCTATACCAGCACAGCAGAGAAAGGGCCTATATAAAAGATGATGTCAGTCAGAAAGATGATGATGTAATTAGCACTGAAAACAGAAAAACTACAGTTACAATTACATTTCTTCTATAGGACCGTAGTGGATATATCCTGCTGAACAATTAGTCAACTAAAAATGGGGCCGGGGCAAATGCTCTCAAAACTTTTCATCTCTATGACTCAAACTGCACTCACACGACTACACCTACACTTCCCCGGGAATTATCTCTCTCTGTATTTTGTAAACGGAGGAGCTTTTCTTTCTCTTCAGATTCAACATTTAGTGCTTTGCTCACTGTTTCTGTAGAAATCCTTATGTAACTAACCGATCAATCAACCAATTAATCAACTAAATGACAATCTACAATATCCTATTTTTGGCTCTATTCCATTTGGTCTCTACTCATTTCCTTTACTTTACCTAGTAGAGCTTGGTGATATGACAAAAGGTTTAATCACATGTTTTTGTATTGATGAATCACAATTTTTCATTACAAATATTTCCATTTTGGTTGTTTGTGACACTGAAAAACATAGAAATACATTCCATCCTTACTGTGAGCAGGTTTACAGTTTTAACTTTCTAGTTCCATGGAATCATGCAGGTGACGTGCCACCTCCAGGCACCTTTAATTTAATGAACATATTTTTATCGGGGCCATTAATAACACAAAACAGTTCAATTTTTTTTTTCCAAAATGTAAACTCTGATCCAAACCACATGTTTTACTGACACTGGATTAGATGTGGAACTCTTGATTAAAAAGACCCACTGAAGATTTAAAATGACTGGATCTTGATTTTGTTTTAATTTGGAAGCCACTTTGTAAAATAAATGGTTCTATTCAAATAAATGGACCATGACACATCCATATTGTCTTATACCGTTTCTAAGAACAGAAGTCTGCCTGGTGCGCGACAGGAATGCTCTCCAAGAACACTTCATCATGTCCAAACTCTGACATTACATAACTCTTTCTCCACATTTTACTTTCTCAGAATCATAACACCAAAAATCTAAATGTGTTACTCTGGAGCTCTGGTCAACTGGTTACAACTAACTATTGCGTAACTTCTTTGGTAAAGGTTCTGACTTCAGTTTTAAACTTTGAAATAGCAATTCCCTTCGTCTGACAAAAAAATGCAGATTCTAACATCACATAATTTTTTAATTATGAAATAGCCTGACTAATTAATATAATAGGGCTGAAGCAGACTAAAAAAGACAAGTCCTGCCGACCAATTAGTTGTATAAAAAGGGAGCCTATCTCTGTGTATCTGTTCCAAACTGCACTCACAAGACTACACCTGCCTGTGAGTTCATGCAAAACAATAAAATATTTACATAGAAAAGTACTAGGAAGTAGTGTATTTTTATGGAAAAGGAAAAACTCATGATTCACTCTCAAGCATTCTCATTTTGGTGACACCATAGAAAGCAACAGAGGCCTATAATTTAGAATACACTTTTGTGAGAAAACATTGACAAAATTTGTGGAATCAAATGTAGGCAAAAACTATTTTTCTTGAAATAGTCAAAGAACGTTCACACTGGCTTCACCAAAATCTGACTAATATCCAATTTCCTGAACCTCCAGAATTACTTAAAGGAAATACAAACTGCACAAATTGATGCGAGTAATCAGAGGAACTGTGATTAGAAAGAAATTATGTGGTTTTGCTGTTTATATGTCATTTTAATTGTAATAATCTTTTAACTCCAGAAATCTCATAATAATCAGGTTTTTGAGTGTGCATGTAACCACATCCACTTTGATTTTGACATTTTGGGTAAACAATTCACTGTCAATCTTCCATACAGTTACATAGCTGCCTGCCCTACATCTGAAACTACGACATCATCTAGTTATAAAAAGTAAATGTTAGATATATTTGGACTGAAAAACTTGGATCATTAAATCTCTATATCACTTTTAGGTGTAATTAACCATATGTCATATTAAAATAATGATGACTAAACCCTTAGCATTTAATACCTTACATCAACGGAAAATTGCCTTGTAATGTATGTGTAATGAATAGCTCTATTATATGAGGTTTGCTTTTGTTTGCTGTTGGCTGTTCATTAAAGCTTACAGGAGTTTGTGAGATTACAGACTGGACTCAGCAGGAGGTCAGTTCCCCTTTGGGCACAGGAAAACACTACACATCTAAGTCTTTGTTTGTCTGATACTTTAAGCCCAATCACAGAAGCAGTCAACCTTCTCATTTAAGTTGCATTTTAAGAATAAAGTGATAATCTACTACTATAATTCATTCAGTGTTGTTGCCGTTTTTATTTTTTACTGTATAAACCCTCCATTCATAGTGTACCAAAACAAAAATGACCATAGAACTTAAAGGGCCTGTGTTGGATGTTTTTTTTTTTCCTGTGTATTTGAGCAAGGATTGCCTTGCTCAACAGATATACTGTATAGCTCTTATTGTGGTCAGAATATGCCTGAATGCAGTTTGCATCCTATTATAAAGAATTGTATTGTCCGATAATCAGGAAGTGCACATTTACCATGCTAGCTGCTATTAGTTTTAATGTGGTAATGAAACGCCACTCTGGCCTCTTATAAACTAAGTGAGAAACAATTTTGGACCACTGTAAATAAACGGTTTAAACCAGGGTTGTCAAACTCAAACTCACAGAGGGCCAAAATGAAAAACTAGGACTACGTCGTGGGCCAAACAAAATATTTACTGAAAAAATTTAATAACATCTGCATGTTTTCTCTTCTTTCGAGATATGTAATTAAACCTTTTCTTATTAAAATAAATGTTTAATAATAGTTTTGCATTGAATCCAGAATAAGCATAATATAAAATAATAACAAAATATTACATAATGTCTCTATAGCCTATCTGTAGCTTTTGAACTACTTAATTTTTTATTTTTTCACAAGCCAACAAAATGCAGCAACACATTTGCAAAGCATTCTGGGATTTGTAATATTAGCACGATACTGGCGCGGCAGCTCTAATACATATTTGATATGATCTCGCAGACCAAATATAATTATATCGTGGGCCAAATATGGCCCCCGGGCCTGAGTTTGACATACCCGGTTTAAACTTTTTGAAGAATCATGCTGGGGGTGTTCTACATGTATGCGTATCACAGTTCTGGAAAACTCAAGAAAAAATAGTCAATTCTTTCTGGGCAGATTGTGTTGAAATAAAGATCAGATTACAGTCTAACAAAGTTTCAGACAGAGCAGTGCCTGCAGTTATCACCACAGCCCCAGGGAATGTTGATGACATGTAAAGTAATGCTGATGCTGTAAAGTATCAATACATTATCATTTCAAAAAGGTGATTATTAGGGAATACTGACTGCGTTAAACATGCACAATAGGTAAACTTCTCCAGCTAAGGCAGTCCTGACCAAGTGTAGCCCAAGATCTAGAGATGGGTCCCTGAGCGCAGCACTGCGCCTGACAAGTTACCCCAGTTACACTGAAGGATGGGTCAAATGCTTGGTTGATTAAAGACAAGCCCTGAGTTACCATTAGTTGACTCAAAGGGGGTGTAGCAGTGTACTGCCGAAATATATCTAACTATACATTACTTAGATCTGACCATGTCTCTGACCAAAACTGCACTGGAAAGACCTCAAGTTCACGGGAGTTCAACAAAAACAACGATTTACAGAAAAGTACTCATACACCACACGTGTTTGTAAAAAGACATATATACAGATAACTGCCCCACAGATTTCAACCCAAATGCCCTTCCACACACAGACCAATCTATTTATCCAGGTTTAAGATCGGTAAAAATATTACACTTGTGGCTTTAGACTACTCCTACAGATAAACATATTTTTAAATTAAACTATGTAACTTTTCTGGTTGCAGGTTCGCCACTTGTCTCCATGAAGACGTTATTAGTCTAAATGTTCCACAGTAAGGCATTAAATTCATTCATCTTGCATCTATTCAATTACAGGTGTTTTTATTGGTAAAATCTATGGAACATTCCAGGCAAACCTATGAAATTTCCAGTGAGAGAAGCAGGTGGAAAACCCTCAACCCTAAAAGTTACATAGTGCACCTTTAATCTATTTGGCATTCAATTGATGAAACTTTTATTTAATTTGATGTGTAGCAATTTTATCAGGTATATCTGAAAACATTACAGAAAATTTAACTCATTATCAAATATACCAGTGGTACTTCTGGTCGTTATTTTATTGTATTAAAAAAAAAAAAAAATCTAAAGTAACTGCCAGTTTCTCATTTTCGCAGCAAGAGGTATCCTAATTGATGTCCAAAAACTAACCAATGTTGTTGAGGGCTAGATAATATTTGGGAGGCTGTACTTCTCTTCAGCTAGGCCTAAACTTACATAACACAAGACATAAATCACGTTGGTTGTTGGCTTCAAATCAAAATATCCATAGCTTGCTTTCATAATCTTGATTTTTGAACATTTGGTGCAAAATCCCTTTCTGCCTTGTTCCATGTGGGCATCTGAATCATCATCCCATCTGTAGTCGAGCCACTGGACACATTTACACAGCTCTGCATCTTTATTTTGAACGTGAATTAGGCGAAAATGTGCATGTTTTTACTTACGGTATGCGTGTTATTTTGAAGAACTGAATCGGCTCCATCCAAAGTCGTGCAAGTCTCATCATTCAACCCCGTAAGGCTTCTCCTTCGTTCCCACTTTTGACGAATTTGTGACGATTGTTTTGCCCCTAAACTTCGTGCACTCTCATCCTTTCGAAAATCCGCTAACTTTGCAATATCCTTGGCGTCAAATTCCGCTCCGAGCGTCAAAGATGTTGAGAAAACCGCACCAAGCGCCAAAACGCAAGACACGAATCGCATGTTTACGAGAAGTACTAGACGCAACTTCGGACACGAGAAGAACTCATCTGTGCGAGATTCTTTGCACACAAACTTCCATCCACAAATCCATCCGCGGAGAGCAAGAGCCAGGATTGGTTAGGGCCAAAAAAAAAAAAAGCGGAATGTGATTGGATCAAACGGTATCGTGCGCTCTGGGGATGTAAAGGGTTTAGTGTTGTTTTGGCGGCCTCTAGTGGAAGGACTGCACAGATCACTCACAACAGACAGCTGTGGCCAGAGATTATCCAGAAAATTTGATTATGAAAGCAATGCAGTAGGGGGGAGTTTTAAGAACCCTTTAAAATGCTAGGTCATCAAAATTTACCAAATTTTATGCATAGAGCTTACTGGAAGCAAAATGATTTCCTGGCAAACCAAAATTATTTTCTTATTGTAAATTATCCTATACCAAGAAAATCATGACTTTCTCTGTATGGTATGAAACGAGAACATCTGATGATTTACAGATTGCTTACCAGGTAACCAAAATGAAGTGGACCCTAATAGATTTTCATTGATTCATTGACAGAAGTGTTTCCCGTGGATTTTGAGGAGAATATGGTACTACAAATAATTTTAATTGGAATAAATTAATCTTTTACAGTTTGTGGATTTTAAATTATGTTTATTTTAATAAGGACTCAATTGAGTAGTCCTTTTTGTCCAGTATAGTTACTTTTAAATGTATGTGATCATGCAATGTGTAACAAAGTGTGATTTTGCAATGCCAGTGTATAGTCCAGTCTGTTTTTAGGTTGGGGGGCACAATACTCTTTTTTTATTAATGGGGAACACTGCATGTAAAACAAATAAGGGTTTTCCATTTTAGAAATGTATAGAAAGTTTTATTATCTGGTATGGTCATGGATTTATTGCATTATGACAAAGAAACAAGCTATTACCAGGTTATAGTATGGATGCTAATTTACACCAGTAGTCCCTGAGCAGATCAGTGTGAATACTGAAAATTTACTTTATATGTATCTAGATAAACTGGCCACAAATAAATGTAAACAGATATTACCAAGAGTCACATATCTAGTACAAAGTATGGAAAGTCTCAAAATTGTATTTGAGCTCCACAAAAAGTTGATTTTTAAAACTTTTATCTTCTAAAAAGTATATTTTGTATGTAAAATTTCAATAGAGTAAGAAATATATTTTAGAGTGGAGTGTGCATATCTTCCCCATGTTACTGTGGCAGAGTGGTTATCCTGTCTCTTGTCTTTCATTAAGTATGTTGTGGGTTAGAGGAGTGCGCATGTCCTCACATTCAATACCGATGGGTCAATCCATCTTTTAAACTTAAGAATAAAAATAAAAATACATAGCCAGATCTTTTTATCTTTTTGAAAACAGTTTTAATATTTGTACTGATTCATAACAAAAAAATTCCCTCCCACCCCTTTTTTCTCCCATATCCACGACCTACCCAGGGCTATAGAGAAACAAACCAGGACAAACTGTTGCTGCTGCAGTAAAAATGTACAGTGTTTGGTGGAAAAGTGGTGGTAATGTTTTGATTTTCAGGCCTGGACTCCTCACGTGGTACAAAACATAGTGCCTCAAGTTGATTTAGATGTCCTTGATCACATCTTCCAGCTCCTCCTTGGAGTACATGTGAAATGTTTTCCCCGGTTCCACTGTTGCCAGCTAAGAAAACAAATAATTACATAAATATATGATAAGAGAGCTTTTGTTTATCCCATAATGGGGAAATTTCATGTTACAATGCAGATTGCAAAAAAAATGCAATAAATGTAAGATAATATAATAAGATACTATTAAACTATAAAATATATACTTGACATCTGTAGTCATATCTCCTGCCCCTGTAAAATGATTAACTCTACTAAAAAACTTACCTATTTTTTTGTTTTTGTAAAGTTAGAACACAATTATCAAGTAGTCTAACCCATCATAGGGACTTTAAGATAAAAAAGGCATGAAAAATAATAAACAGTGGCTGTGTAAGAACAGTAAAACTATAAAGCTACAAACCATTACAGCTAAAACTATGTTTAAAGATGAACTAAACTGTCAGATTATTTTTTAGATCTCGTCAACTTTAGAATATTATATTATTTTAATATTTTAATAACTGTATATATATAATTTTGATGCCTAACTGTGCACTAAAAATAGATAATGTTTTATGTTTCATAGCCATTTAACTGTTTCTCATCTAAGGCTTTGTGTACTCAAAAATTTTGCCACTGCTAAAATTAGTAGCTCTCTGGCTTTTTTTTCATAAAGGTAGCTCACTGGAGGAAAAAGGTTGGAGATCCCTGGAATAAAGTATACCGAAAGTCTTGAACGTTCATAGTAATAATCTGTAGTAGAGAGTACTTTAGCAATTGTACCTCGATATTTGTGGCGTTGAGTTTCTCTTCCATCACCTGCTTTAGGATGGTGAGAGAAGACTTGATGGCATCTTTTAATGTCATGGACTGGAAAAGATGTGGAAGAGTAAAGTAAGTATATTAAAATAAACAGATAAAAAAATCATAAGGATGTTAAGATGAATGCTTGCTCGATACAAAAAAGTTTTGTCATTTAAGTTTGTGGCAACATTTTTAGCAACTCACCTTTGGAAATTTACAACTTTACAACAACTCACCATTGTGTAATAGATTACTTTATGTCATGTCAAATCACTATTTCATCTGTACAGTTACTCTGTATGTCACAATGTCTTGATCAAAGGCAAGTAACATACATTTTCTTCTACACATTCAAATCTGAATATTTGTGCCTTACTTGAAGTCTTTTGACATTTTACTACTTTAATTATTTAGAATTTTGTGTTTGCTACAATGTCCAAGTACTATTCCTTGTGAATAAATAAAGTCTGTCTAAGTTTAACTACAGTTCTGTTGTTATATATAGGGCTGTGGTTTACCTTGTGGTAGACTTCTTGTAGAGAGCTCTGAGCTCCTTCAGAGGCTGAACCAATCGCTCGAGCATCGCACTGAACAAATGTCCCTGAAGGGTCCATGTGGTACCTAAAGACAGAGTTTTAATAGTTCTGGTAAAATGGTTAAAATAATTGCAGTTGTCAGACAGTAGAACAAAGTGATGCCTTTCTCTTAGATGTGGGGATAAAAATGGTTTAATTCTGAATCAATTACATGATAAAATAGTTGAATCAAAAGAGACATCCACAAATATTAAACCCAATTACTTTACCCCTTATTACCCCATTGACAACAACAAGGTCCATATTATTTATTCAATACTGAACTGCAAAATCTGCATGCAACTGGGACATTTTGTCTATTATATCTAGTTGAAGTAAGTGATGCATCATGGACAAGTATTCATTTTAATATCAGAAATATATTCTGCACTTACAGTTGAGGTCCTTTCTCATCAACTCCTCCAAAAAGAAGTGCTACACCAAACGGTCGACTCTGAGGAAAGTCACATGATGTCAGTACCACACAAAATAAATAATGATTAGAACACAGATCATGTGATGCCATTGGGTTTAATCTACATTTTCAGATTTTGTTTACCACAATGAACAGTCTGTTAAGCGAAGGTTTAGTGCATTAAAGCTTTTACCATAGCACCAGGATCTGCATCCTCCTCTCCAAACTGGAGGGCCAAGTTGGACACGGCCTGAGTCACACTCTCCACTGTCATCGTCTCGTTGTACGTGAACCAGTGATTCTGAACAAAGTTCAGAACAAAGTGTTGGGCAATTTTTAAAAGAAATCAGAAATAACTGTACTAAATATCGTTGAAATTCATACCTGCGTTTCCACTCTTGCTTTGTCAATGAGCGTCTTGGCATCAGCTATTAATCCACTCATCGCACAACCTGCATGACACAAATTACACTAAATAAGTGAATGATCATCAATTATATACTTTTGAAAAAAAAAAAAAAAAGTAGACTTCCACCTACCAATGTGACTGTCAATCTCCACAATTTTCTCAATGCTGTTGGGCTCCATGAGCGGAGAAGTAATCCTCTTTTCTACAGCCAAACACACGCCTTCTGATGTCTGGATACCGATGGCCGTGGAGCCCAGCTACAAAAGACCATAGGGAGGGAAACAGTGTTGACACACTTATCAGAAATAATGCAGAAATAACTGATGTGAATACTGCAAAATGACTGCTGTGTTTACTTTGATTGCTTCAATGGCATATTCAACCTGGAACAATCTTCCTTCTGGAGAAAATGTGTTCACACCTCTGAAAACAGATACAATATCTCAGTACAGACACTTGAATACTGAACACAGTGTAGTTTCCTACTTGAATATAAAACAGAAAGTGAAACCAAAACAACTCCAAGTCAAAAACTTTACCCCTAAGTTCCCAAAGTACACAACCCCAATGGTTAATTCGATAAATAAGACATATATAGAGACATACAATGAATACTTAAGTATCTTAGGTTTGATTACATTTTCCTTTATAGACTGGTCGTAAATGACAAAGCAGTTTGCGGCTCGCTGGACTCACCTGTCATACTCCGATCTGGTCAGAAACATCTTTTATGTTTGGGCGAAAACCTGAAATATAAATATTACATTACCCAGAGAACATTACAGCGATGACAAATGTAAATGCAGCGGGTTATAGGAGTCTTGTTCAAACTTTGCCGTTTCACCGACAGCTCGCTTAGCTCATGTTAGCAAGAGTAGCATGTTAGCTCATCCTGACACAGCTTTTCAAAAGAACAACAAAAAATAACAAATCATAACACCGATCAATGGGTTTTTAGACAGCATAACTGCTAGCCGCATTTTTGTTAAAATTTAGAGTATAATGAACATGCAAAGGACAGAAAATAATTCTGCTAAATTACCTCCAAACCCTTGAATGAGTTCGCTTGTTTCGGAGGAAATGTCTAAGGTGTGACACATAAAAGTTCCGGTAGTGAGCTAAAGCAAAAGAAACGTTCCGCCTAAAACCAACGGGACAAAGCATATAACTTTTTAGAAAGGTAATAGTTACCAGTAAGCCTAAGTCAGTAGGCAAAACATTTAAAGCTGATACAGCTTTTTAAAAATAATAATAAAATAAATAAA